CCTTCCCAATTACAAAAAGGGAAAAGCCCTGGGAACGAGGTTGCGATACGGTCAGTTAAAAAAAACTGAAATTAGCTGTGGAAATTGTATAAAAGCTGTTTACGACCTTCAGAGCTATATTGGACAATTGCGGCCACAAAATGACACCACTGACACGTGCCTGTAGGCAAATTTATTCGCGCGAAGCGAAAAACAAATTTCGAAAATGTGATTGGTTGGCTGAATATATAATTCTTCGCATCCAGTAGGAAACGGGCTTAAGATTCAAGGCGTGAACATTCATCAGGCGAAAAATTGAGCCCTGAAACTATTTTCAAAAATAGTTTCAGCTATAGTGGGGCGGTATTGTGGAATTCACTTCCTGCTGAGTTGCAGCGGGCCACTACCTTAGCCAAATTTAAGTCTGACTGCAGTAATTTTACTCGATAATTTAATATTTTATTCTGTCTTATATATCATCACGGCACTCATGGCAACCAGGTGTGATTTTTAATATGTGTTGTAAAATTGTGTATTGTATATTTTGTATTCTTAGACTCCGTTCACACGATACCGGCTGAGTTTGAAAACGGTACGAAATTCTTACGTTTAAAGGCCCACACAGACCGGACGCGATTCGGCAACGTGACGCGAATTTTCAGTTTTCAAAAACAAATAAAACCGTCAACGGATAAAAAATTTACAAGATATGCTGACCAATTAGCCAAAATTGCTTAAGCGGTTCCGAATATTGGAAAAACTTTGAAATATATTAAAGTTAAATGTCATTGAAAACAGAAAATTCGCGTCGCGTTGCCAAATTGCGGAATTTCATTACGGTTATGCAAAATGAAATTAACAAAACTGCAAAAGTTGTTGGATATTTTATTCTGTCTAGTTTAACTGATTTGTGCAGCATATTGTCAAAGCGGAATATAATCTGCCGGTATCGTGTGAACAGTTGAAACCGTGATGATTTTCTGCCGGCATGCAGAATTCCATGTCGGTATCGTGTGAGCGGTGTCCGGCTTAATATTGTGTATATCCTGATAAGGTCACCGTGGCTATCAATATAAATAAAGTTCACATTCACATTCTGAGACTTTCTTTCCGGGAATCTTAACTCTTTCGGATTGCGCAGTATTAAAGAAGGTGACATTCAGTTTAACTTGAATTTTGAGAAAACGAACAAAACGGCAAACGTATTAGTTCAACATTAGAAACGAATAAGCAAATTCTTACGGCGTTCTTGCAGATCGAAAAACTGGTAACAAAATATGGCTCTGGTGCAACTTCGGAGGGATCGACTGGCGGCAGAAAAAAGCGAAATAGATCGTTATTTCCCTGGCTGTGTGAAATGGATCGATCCTACCGGCGATACGAAAGTAGAAGTCGCGCTGAAAACAAACAACGACAAGAAGTATACGTTGAGAATCTACATTGGAAATTATCCACATTCAGTACCAGACATGGTTGTGGTGTCTTCGCCAAAGCCGATGCCTGATTGGGAAAATAGTTCCACCAGCCATACTCTGTCGAAACGCGATGGGTATTTACGAATTTGTCATTGGCACAGCAGCCATTGGACGGATCGCATCGCGTTGCATGAAGTCGTTTTGAAGGGTCGTCTCTGGCTTGAAGCTTACGAATGTCACCTCAAAACTGGACAACTGATGATTTCTCTTCTTCCGCTAATGGTACCAGAGTCAAAGAGCTCAAAGTAGTTACTTTCGCCTTTTGTGAATAAAAAGTGCGTGATTTGTTAAATGCCACAGTATTATAGAAGAAAATTATTAGAACATGATATTAGAAACTTGATAATAAAAATAAATTATTATAATGATGGTATAATGGGAACTTTATTACTTTCAATAATATATATGTGATGCTACAATAATAAACCTCTCTTTACAGGTAGTTTACCATTGTCTACTTGAATTAACACTCTACATAATAACAATATTACTATATGACATTAATTGTGGATTATTCCATTCTTTGTTACGCTTACGAGGATCTGATCGATACATATCACATATGTTAATAATTTTCCGAACATAATTTCTATACATTGTTCATCAAACTTTAGATCTTTCAGCATTTCGGTGAACTAGATCTAGGGACAAATGACTGAAAACTCCTAATAAACTAATCGATAAATTTTCAAATTTTACTTTTTCATAATTTTTGAGCTGTTCATTAATTAGATCTTGATATTTTTGTCTTTTTCGAGTTGCTTCAGCAAGGAGATTAGATTCAAATCCGACGGTAAGTTCAAGTATATAAATACGTTTGTTTTCAAGTGTTATCAAAAGATCAGGGCGTAATTCATCTCCGGTGAGAACAGATAGACTGATAATAATAATAATCAGGGCACTGGGGGTGGGACAGGCTGGAGCCTAATTAGCCTACCACGGGAATATGAACGCTACCGCCCACTAGAGTCTGGGGTAGCACCTTCAGCAAGTGCTAGTAACCCGTAGCTGCCCTTGCCAGGGATAAGACATCGGAACCCAATATATGGTGTAGATACGTGCTGACGTGTAAGTGGCATCTCCGTTAAGATGCAGCAAACGTTAACCCTAGGAATTGGCGATTCCTGGGGATATAAAGCTTTACCCAGAGTGCCGGGCAACCCTGGGTGGACTGTTGTTCCCCTGCATACTGCAGATTAAAACCATTTTCCGTTGCGTTGAATGTCAATCACGTGAAAAATCAGTCGCGCGGGCACACCAAGAAAGTTGAATGTAGTTCTACTTTCATGGCGTGTCCGCGAGCAGTCAGGCGGACAAAAAATGCACAGGATAGATAACTACAGAGAAAGTTGAGTAATGTTCGCTCCGCCCACGCTGGCAAAGCGACTGCAATGGAAAGTGGCCTTTATGGCCTTGACAGCCAATCATGCCCATAGATATCTTATATACACTAGATAGCGCATCTCCTTTAGTAAAATTGAAGCCAAGAATATTCTAGCGGTTACCCCCATTTGAATAGATGGCGACCATGTTGGTAGTTCCCACTCGCTAATAAACGCTCAAAAAACAACAATAACTTTCATCATTTGAATAGTTTAAAAATGTATTTGGAATAGGTTTAACTTAATGTTTAAGTTCCCTGTTTAAGAAATAAAAAACATACCAATCTTCTCATTTCATGGGAATATCCTGAGTCTGCAATCACGGCTTCAATTTTGGAATTGCAGAATAATTAGATGCACTATCTAGTGTATATAAGATATCTATGATCATGCCGAAAATCACAAATAAAAAAAGTAACTGTACAGAAGGGGTTGAAGGCAACGCTGAAGGCCCTCTGCACATTACTGCAGAAAGACAAGAGTGGACAAAGAAGTCCAATTAACAAACTACTTATCGAATGTCACCTACGGAGTGAACCAACGAAACGAGGATTCAGAAAGAGAATGCTGGCTATTTGAAATGATAGAGGACTGTTTAGTGCCACGGAACAACAGCTGGCTGGGCAAGTAAGATGTATCAAGAACAGAGGATGGTTATCATCAGTGGAAATTGAGGAAATACAGCGTGCAATTGATAATAAATGAAGCAGGATTAACGGAACTAGAAGAAGCGGAAATGTGCAACATCAGGCAACAGAAATACGACAAGAAGCAGCTACTCAGTACAAGCTACTCAAAACTTAGCTTTGGAATATTACTAATTTTGTGATGCTCTTTTAAGCTGTGATGAAATTTTTTGTTTAGACTTGTCTAGATCAAAATTTTGTTTATTAGGTAAAATAGGTCCATTCATTCGCGCGAAGCGAAACGAAAAACAAATTTCGAAAATGTGAATGGTTTGGCTGGATATATAATTTTTCGCAGCGATTCAGTTTTTTACTAACCATTCGCATTACCGAAACGTTTTCCGGTTTCGTGCAAACAAACTCATCCAGTAGGAAACGGGATTAAGATTCAAGGCGTGAACATTCATCACGCGAAAATTGAGCCCTGAAACTATTTTTGAAAATAGTTTCAGCCTTAGTGGGGCGGTATTGTGGAATTCACTTCCTGCTGAGTTGCGGCGGTCTATACTAGCTACCTTACCTAAATTTAAGTCTGACTGCAGCAACTTTATTCGATAATTTAATATTTTATTCTGTTTTATATAACACGGCACTCATAGAAACCGGGGGCGTGATTTTTAATATGTGTTGCAAATTGTGTATTGTATATTTTGTATTCTTAATATTGTGTATATCCTGATAAGTTTACCGTGACTATCAATATATATGAAGTACTGACTTTACATTCACATTCTGAGACATTCGCATTCTGAGACATTCACATTCTGAGACATTCACATTCTGAGACATTCACAATCTGAGACTTCCCTTCCAGGAACTTTAATTGAACTTTTCCGGCCGGATTGCGCACGAATAATGAAGGTCACATTCAGTTTAACTTGGATTTTGGGAAAACGATCAAAACGGCAATCGTATATATTCAAAATTGAGAACGAATAAGCAAATTCTTACAGAGTTCTTGCAGCAAAATAACAAAATATGCCTTGGAGTCCAGCTCAAAGGGTTCGACTGGCGGCAGAAAGGAACAAACTAGATCGTTATTTCCCTGGCTGTGTAAAATGGATCGATCCTACCGGCGATACGAAAGTAGAAGTCGCACTGAAAACAAACGACGACAACAAATATACGTTGAGAATCTACATTGGAAATTTTCCAAATTCAATACCAGAAATGGTTGTGGTTTCTTCGCCGAAACCGATGCCTGCAGATTGGGAAAATAGTTCCGTCACTCATACTCTGTCGAAACGCGATGGGTATTTACAAATTTGTCATTGGCACAGCAGTCATTGGACGGATCGCATCTCGTTGCATGAAGTCGTTTTGAAGGGACGTCTTTGGTTTGAAGCTTACGAAGGTCACATCAGAACTGGGCAACCGATGAGTTACTTTCTTCGGGAAATGGTATCAACGGGCTCGACGCGGTTGCTTTCGTCTTTTGTCAGGAATGCCTTTCGACAGGAAACGGAACAACAAGAGTGCGTGATTTCTTAATGGCTCACAGTATTACGGAAGAAAATTATTGGAACATGATATTAGAAACTGATTAGCCATTAGAAGCTATTACTGAAATAACTAGGTTGAGTGCTTGAATCTTTAAAAAAATATATTAGAATCAAGATAGAACGACCGATCAGGACTAAAACATTTATTGAAATCCTGAGTTTTATAGCCTATTATCCTCTCTAAAATATAAAATATTACGCCTAAGGATATTAGATAAAATATAAAATGGTTAAATTTGTAGGAATGTATATATTGATGGCACTCTAACAGAGTAAATGTTTTTTTAATAAACTACAAAAACGAACTGTTAAATACTAGACTCTACTAGAGTTTCTATAGCTATTTTCCACTCATGCAGTGCAATTAAGATATATAGACATGAGCATAGTATATATATAGTATGACTGTATGAAATATATACCATAATACAAAGTCAGCTTAATACAAAGTACATATAGATCATATACGGATTGTTATTTAAGTTTAATTTCCATCCCATGTGCAAAATGTCAAATGTTTACTATTATTTATACTGACGTGGTGGTTTGATGAAATACCCGATTGTACAAGTTTATCACTTATTTACTGAGATCGAAGGAAACAGTGTGTTTTGTGAACCCGAGACGGTCGAGGGGTCACAAAACACACTGCTTTCCCGAGGTCTCAGTAAATATAAGTGTTTTGGATGTTATATCGTATAGTATACAATCAGTATTGTTACATAGTTAGTGTCAAAGTTCAATTTTTCTGTTTGCCGATTGGTCAAAACCGTGTCACGTGCCGGTCCACAAAACGTCATGTTCGGCAACCGGTCCGGAATCAAACATTTATTGACCAGTCAATAATAAAATGGGTGCAATACGCATGCGTGTCAACCATGAAGTTCCAAAGTTCATTTTTAAAACTTTTTACTAAACATTTACGGCGTTCCATTTATCTAGTTTTGTTTCAAATTAAGTTCACTCCAATAACCGGTGAATTATACATGCTTTGACACTTATATACTATATAACAAAACACTTATTTACTGAGACATCGGGAAAGCACACTGTTTTGTGGCCCCTCGACCGGCGGTCTCGAGGTGGTCAACAACGGCGGTCTCGGGTCCACAAAACACACTGTTTACTTCGGTCTCAGTAAATAAGTGATAATTGCCTAGTGCGCAAAGTAAAAAAATGTGTTATTAATAAAATAACCAGTTGGTAGCTTCAATCAATATTTTTTGGCTCGGTTTCATTGGTAAGCAATTTTAACCAATTAAAACCGATTATTTATTATTAAATACTTCATGTTTACGTTTCAATAAAATTTTTGTTGGGTCTTTTTTCCACCAAAAAATTTTACTGTGCATGCATGCAAACCTACAAGCAATTTTTAAAAAAATGCACATTATTATATTATATATTAAATTTATGCACTAATATTCTAACTAGGCGTACGAGACGGGCGGAGCTGTAGATAGCCTCTTCCGTAGGCCTCTCTATGGGTTTTAGCCATAAAAAATCTGGAAATTTTTCCGACCTCGGATGAGATGCCTGCAAAGAAGGCGTAGCTGGGGGAACGGTTGGGGGCATTGTCAAGTTATAAGGTGGTAGATATATAAAGTCGGCGAGACCCCCTCCTTCCGCACCCCGTCGAAAAACATTTTGGGAGGTTTATAACGGGGGGAAAAATTTGTATTGGTCGGCCAATTTCCATTAAGGGCGAATTTTTGTCCGGCCCTAATCCCCCCCCCCCTTCCCGTACGCCTATTATTGTCAACTCCTCACCATAGAAAATATCTACACTGAAGTTCAACTTTTCAAAGTTATATGTTTCAATTTATTGAATGAGTCATGTTGCTTCTGTTCCAACTGAACCAATTGTCCGTATGAGAAATATCTTATACCTGCTATTCCTGGTCATGGAATACTGGGCAAATCCCCGATTTTTTTACTTAATTCTCTTTTCTTTTCTCTGGCAATTTCTTCGATTCTCTTTTTCGTGTTTTTGCTGTCCTCTTTTAGTTTGATTCTCATTTGCTCTATTCGTCCTCGATCTTTTTCTGGGCTAAGAGGAATGATGGTTTGCAGGCGTAGAATTTGACCGAGTAAATAGCTTTTCGAAACATAGACGTAAAGACTAGAGATACTCTTTACAACATGAGCGATTTGTCGGGCTTCCATTGACTCTTCGATGATCTCCCTGCGTGTAATTTCTGAACGTGAATTCGCTTCGAGTTCCGCTTTCGTTGTATTTTTGAAACGTTGCACGTCTCCTTTAAGACGTTCTTTGATGATATCATGAAGTTCTTGGAACATGCTCTTAAATCCGTTCCAGTGTTGTATCACTTGGTTTAGCGCGGACATGCCTCTGGCAAGGACGTGGCGAATGTTATTCAGGTCGAGGGTCCTGTGATCAAACTTCGCGAGTTCATCAAGAACTTTTTCCATTTCCTTTGACTCCTGAAGTATTTGGTTGTGACAACGCTCATAACGTCTGTAACACTCGAATAATAATTCTTTTGCTTCTTTCTAAAAAATAGAAAGTGTTTGACAATATTATATATACTGATTGCTGCAAACATTCATGCAGACGGTCGCTCGAAAAAATGTAGAAACTTTTTCTTTTTAGTCGGGAGTATAGTTATATATATCTTAATATAATTAATAAAATCTAGCTGGCTCTCATTAACGTTTAAAATTCCTCGAGTATAATAAAAGAATGTTGTTGTTATGGTTTGTATAATCCGAGTGAGTATATATACATTTAAGACCTGACCAGGAACGACTGCGAAAAGTGCAGCACAAGGTCCTCTGCATGGTAGGAATTGAACCTATATACGGCCCAGCGATTCCGGTGCAGCGCTCTAACCAACTGAGCTACAGAGGCCAGCTGTTGAGCTGTATAACCGTAAGTTCATGTATATATAGGTGATCGGGTGTGCGAGTTGTGATAAGGCGGACTTCAATGATGTGGTTTCTTGCACTTCACTTGGTGGTATTAATATTGAAGTTTATTAGTATTATTAATATTATTAATATTGAACTAATTTAGAAATATATGCAACAAGCAATGATTAACCCTTGCATGCACTTTTCAAAAATTTTATAATTATACCTATTTTGTAATTAAATTAAAATATTAAAATTTGCCCAAAAATGTTTTGTTTTCCAAATAGTGCAGACTTTATAGCGAACGTATAAATATTAGACTTAATTTGCACTTTATAGTGACCTATATAGTATAGAAGTATTTATAAACTTTACTATTACCCGTTTCCTTTCAGCCTCTTCCAACATCGTTTTACTAAGAAATCCTTTAGTTTTTTGCGATTGGTCAGGATGATTCTCATTATCGTTCGCCAGCTGTTGGAAACCGGATAAAGTTGATAAACCTTTGAGATTTTCTACAGCTTTCAAGTTAAAAGCTTTTGCCTTCTCATAGAACTGTGCGATTCGGTTTTCAATGGCTACTTTCGTGGTCTCGTTTTCAGCTTCGCCAAGTTCTTTGGATATCTGAGCACCGTTCCTGCATAATTTCATAGCTTTCTTGACGGCATCTTCAACGCGGTTGCCTGCATTTAAATTCAGGTCACCAAGCATTTGTTCAAACGACGTCTTCACGCTGGTGATGCTACTTTGGTTACATCTTTTAAAATGCAACTGTTCTGCATGTTTAAGAATATCGCTGGCAGCAAGATATGCGTTTGCTTCATCACTGGTAATCTCAGCACGGACGGGCTTGGGCTTTGAAGAGCCCGGCTCGGCTGGCTTGCTTGCTGAGGACACAGGCATGCCTTGCGTCAGTAAAAATGCTGGTATTAGTGCGCCTGCGACATCACGAGCGAGGCCTGCAGCGCCATCAATGAACCCGAACAGCATTATTTTCCAAGGCGAAGGATAAGACTCGACTGACTCATCGTATTTTAGTTTCGCTTTTGCAACTTCATTCCCTTCTTTTTCATACCACTTTTCAAGCTCCTTTTTATCTTTTTTTATTTGCTCTTGCTTTTTAAGTGCTGCATTTTTCTTGCGTTGGATTTTGTTTTGCTCATCGTGGTATTTGCCCTTCGATTGAGCGCAAGCTTCGAGAAGCTCGTCCATCATATTAGCGACTTCTTTAAATTCATCTGTTATGGACTTCGCAGCTTCGACACATTCAATGGACTGCTTTTCGATGTTACTTAAATATTGAGACACGATGGGCAATTCTTTTTTTGTGCCTTCTTCTATGAAATGAACTGCCTTTTTCACGTCTTTATCAATGTTTTCGGCTTTCATGTAAATTCTATTCATGCCATGGTGCGCCGCATCAAAAGCTTTCCACACATTATTGGACAACTGGACTAGACATGCGCGGAACGAATCTGGATACTTGATATATTGAAACGTTGTATTTTCAGTGTGCTCTATCAAACTGAAATCTTTTTCTGCAGAGATGAGCAACAAATGGCCCAATGATGTAATGATGAACGGAGCTTGACTAAGGGCATCGTAACTCCTCAAATTAGGATCGGATACCACTGCTATCATCTCGGCTTCTTCAGCTTTCAATTCAGTTGCGATTATACGTTCTTCCAGCGCTTCGGCCATTTATAACTGTTGAATCGAAAAAATATTGTTATTTTGCAATACACGTCAAAACAATGAGCGACTTAGTGGCATGGCATTTTAATTCAAACAATTAAAGGTAGTGGTAATATTGATATCAAGAGTATCCTATATAATGTATAAAATCCTTAATGAAAATTGTTCGCCATGTTTAAGAGAAAGCCTCGTAAGACTTAGAGAACTTAATAGAGGCCATAATTTACGAAATTAGAAAACGGATCTAGCACTTCCAAAACCAAAAACTAATTTTTTGAAGCGAAGCGCGAAAAATAATGCATCAATGCTGTGGAATAATCTTCCATTAGATGCAAAAAGAGCGACTTCGCTCAGTCTATTTAATTTAGCGTAGTATTGCGGAACTGTCCTTTTAGAACCATGTTGACTTAATTATAGTTAACTCGTTACTTACTTTACTTGACTTTATTTTTCTTTGTTGTTGTTGGGGGGGGGGGGGGGGGGG